GATAATTAATTAACGAACACGTTAGAGTCCTGGACTATCTCATAGTAGGCTAAGCTATCTGGACAAATTTAAGGTGTGACAGAATTTCAGGTGAGACGACAAACACGTACTTTAAAATATAATTTTGTCTCTCAACCCGAAATTTCGTCATATATTATTGCCACGAAACTCACTCAAATCTTTTTTTATCCATTACAATAAACTGAAAATGAAAATTACATAGAATATCTTCCAAACTTTAAAATAATACACCATAAAATTATTACTGGTAGGAAGTTGTAGAAATATATATAAATAAATTGAAAATTAGTTGTATACCTGTTTTTCTTTATTAAGTGATGCTTTAAATTTAAGTTGTATCATTGTTTCTAACGAATATTGACAATTTTGCATCTTACAGGAATTTGGCAGTAAAAAAGACAGGTTTTGATCATTACTTTTATTACGCAAGTTACAATTATACACATTGTACAAATTTTAAAATTCAGACCACAATTGAGAAAGATACGGGTTCATACTTAAGTAGTTTTAGCTCTTCATTGCTTGCCACAATTCATATAGTTGACCGGTTTGGGATTTCGAAAATAACTAGCGCTACAGGTTGTAAGGCTTTTGTATGATTTTAAATTAACAGGCTACACACTTCTTCAACCACAATATTTTCAAACGGAACCATGGGACATGCCCCCTCTCTCATCATGTCTCTACGTTTTTTACACAGTTTTCGGAGCACAAGACAGAACAGAACAAAAATAATCAAACAATTTCATGTTGCGTGCAGCTGACCTAACTCAAATTGTTGTCTCAGGGTGGCTACAAACTCCTGGAAACAAATTCAGTTACTTTTACAGATAGTAATTCCTGGTTGTCAAGTGTACTTTTTAACTAGGAATCTGCAGGTCCCTGATGGGCCCAAGATTAGTTCGGATTGAAAATAATTATTTGGCCAAGCCCGGGTGGAAAGTGTTACCAAGAAACGCAAAAAAAATTGAGGATTCTGACACAATTGCAATGTTAACTGTTTTGTTTTTCCATGATCGTGGGAGACTATGATTTCACAATAACCGCAGAAGATCTCCTCGATTTTGCTGTGACCTGAGAAGATGACCTCAATTTCACCAGGCCACAAAAGATGTTTACGATTTTGACGTTACCATGTAAGATAATTCTCGCTTTGTGACCACCCTGTGTGCTACAATGTTGGTTCTGAACCAGACAAAACCTCAATTGCCATGTCCATCATAGAAGCGTAGAAAATATAAAAAAAATCAGTAAAACTTAAAACTAACCATGTTTTTCAGCTAGTTTTAAAAAAGGTTTTAATTTAAACATTTTAAGAAAACATTTTTCATTTATTAGGATTTTATATTGTTAAAATTAGGATTTACTGTATTGTGTTGTTCCATTTAGTCATGAAGGGTAAAAATGTAGGGCTAAATGATTTTATTTAAATTTTTGCAATTTTTCTGACTAAATGGAAACTTCTATTGTATATTCAGAAAAATTATTGCTTAGAACATAGTTGAATAGTTAAAAGAGCATTCGGTCTGGACTTGGTTATACAATTTGATAGATTAGTTTGTATGATCTATAATCTATAAACCACAAATTGACTGGAAGATATTTTACAAACATTAATGTCTATAATTTGCAAAGCAAAATTAAGTATGTTTTTATTTGAAAGATACTTGTCAATTGTAGGTATTAAAAAATAGAATTTAGCCCTATTATTAACATGGGCGTTTGGGCTACTAAACACAATTGATGGACTACACAGGAAATGATATGTCAAACATATGCAAACTTCTCTCATTTTAAAAATATGATAAAATTATAGACTAAAACACATATTTTACAATCTTCAGGGAGCCACCAAATGAGACACCACTGAGACCTACCAGTGCATCCTTTGCTATAAACTTTCTAAATAAATTTTAAAACTAAGATTTTGGTCTTCATTTAGAAGCAAACCATAGGAGCAAACAACAAAGATGAAAATATACTTAATTATAACCTAGATACAAGTACAAAGTACGTAAGTTATCAGTCACCCACAACAAATGTAACAATAAATAACTTTCCTTCCATTCTTTCACTCAACTTGGAACACAACTAAGTGACAACACTAATGTAAAGAAATTGCAATGCTACCAAACCTCAAGTCAGTCAAGTTTTAACCTAATTGGTATACCTTAGAATGGTTGCTTAAATTGAAATTTTCAAGAGAAAAACCAGTAATGCGTATGATCAACTATAAAAAAAGCATAAAATAATTTTATTAAAGCTGATTTATACTCCCATATTATAAATATTTTTACAATATAATTATTTGTCGATTTGAAAAACTAGTTTGGATTCAACAAAAAACAAATCTATCAATGTATTTCTCTATTCAACAATATATTTTCTACGTCATAAAGATTATGTTGTAAGACCAACAGAATAGAATAAAGCTTATGATCCTTCCATTCTTTGCACTCAACTTGGAACACAACTAAGTGACAACACTAATGTAAAGAAATTGCAATGCTACCAAACCTCAAGTCAGTCAAGTTTTAACCTAATTGGTATACCTTAGAATGGTTGCTTAAATTGAAATTTTCAAGAGAAAAACCAGTAATGCGTATGATCAACTATAAAAAAAGCATAAAATAATTTTATTAAAGCTGATTTATACTCCCATATTATAAATATTTTTACAATATAATTATTTGTCGATTTGAAAAACTAGTTTGGATTCAACAAAAAACAAATCTATCAATGTATTTCTCTATTCAACAATATATTTTCTACGTCATAAAGATTATGTTGTAAGACCAACAGAATAGAATAAAGCTTATGATACAATGACTGAGCTTATTCCCACAAAATAACAGTGGGCTTCATGCTGCCTTATTACATAGTAGTTATCGATTTTCCAGTAATAACCAAGATACAAAAGTAAAGTGATGTGTAACAATTCTCCATTTTCAGTATCTTTAGGGATAGAGGGGTTCTACCATTACAGAAGATACTGTTGTTGTTACACAAACACTTTCTTGTGAGGTAACGTTTTATGATGATAATCAATACACCTGCTAACTTTCACAGTAGCAGGAATTCCTTTACCCTCTCTTTACTTAAGGTGGAGCCTACAGTATAATCAACTGTCACAGCCACTGGACTTAATTGTTTGTCATGAAACAATCAAATTGACACCTTAATTTAATGTATAGCCATTGCGTTAATTTGTAATATAATTTATCAACGTGTAAGGTTTGTTTGAAAATTGAGTTGTAAAAAATCTTACACGTGATGTTTTTTCACGATAATTTCTTAGAAAGGTAATTCTTTTTTAAATGATTGTTGCGTTATTTAATTTGATTTTTGAATTAATTAAATAAGTTAAGTTAAAACTATAACGTTCCAAGAGCAATCCGTACGCATTTAAAATGACAACTTAAAAAACTAATGACATCACAGGTGATAATATACAATGGCTTGGACACTACACTAATGTTTAAGTCTTACAGTTAACTCATTTACAATGGAAACATAACATCTCGCAACCGATAACAATATTTAAACTTTAAAAAGGCTTTATCAAAACACTCTCCATCCAACGCCGCATCATTCCTTTGTACAAGTAATGTATAAAAAAGTCAAGGTAATTATGCACAAGGAGGTGAGTTCTGTACATAGAGGCCTCAGTATGGTCACTAAGATGTCATCATATCATTGGCTGACCCTGGACTGCTGGTTGTGTTAGGACCTTTCAGTGAGTCATTGATGTCTCTCCTGAACATGGACAAGTTCTGTGTAAACCTGCCAAACAAACAACATCTCTCAGACTACATTGGATACAAGATGAGTTCTGTACACAGAGGCCTCAGTATGGTCACTAAGATGTCATCATGTCATTGGCTGACCCTGGACTGCTGGTTGTGTTAGGACCTTTCAGTGAGTCATTGATGTCTCTCCTGAACATGGACAAGTTCTGTGTAAACCTGCCAAACAAACAACATCTCTCAGACTACATTGGATACAATATGAGTTCTGTACACAGAGGCCTCAGTCTGGTCACTAAGATGTCATCATGTCATTGGCTGACCCTGGACTGCTGGTTGTGTTAGGACCTTTCAGTGAGTCATTGATGTCTCTCCTGAACATGGACAAGTTCTGTGTAAACCTGCCAAACAAACAACATCTCTCAGACTACATTGGATACAATATGAGTTCTGTACACAGAGGCCTCAGTCTGGTCACTAAGATGTCATCATGTCATTGGCTGACCCTGGACTGCTGGTTGTGTTAGGACCTTTCAGTGAGTCATTGATGTCTCTCCTGAACATGGACAAGTTCTGTGTAAACCTGCCAAACAAACAACATCTCTCAGACTACATTGGATACAAGGTGAGTTCTGTACACAGAGGCCTCAGTCTGGTCACTAAGATGTCATCATGTCATTGGCTGACCCTGGACTGCTGGTTGTGTTAGGACCTTTCAGTGAGTCATTGATGTCTCTCCTGAACATGGACAAGTTCTGTGTAAACCTGCCAAACAAACAACATCTCTCAGACTACATTGGATACAAGATGAGTTCTGTACACAGAGGCCTCAGTCTGGTCACTAAGATGTCATCATGTCATTGGCTGACCCTGGACTGCTGGTTGTGTTAGGACCTTTCAGTGAGTCATTGATGTCTCTCCTGAACATGGACAAGTTCTGTGTAAACCTGCCAAACAAACAACATCTCTCAGACTACATTGGATACAAGGTGAGTTCTGTACACAGAGGCCTCAGTCTGGTCACTAAGATGTCATCATGTCATTGGCTGACCCTGGACTGCTGGTTGTGTTAGGACCTTTCAGTGAGTCATTGATGTCTCTCCTGAACATGGACAAGTTCTGTGTAAACCTGCCAAACAAACAACATCTCTCAGACTACATTGGATACAATATGAGTTCTGTACACAGAGGCCTCAGTCTGGTCACTAAGATGTCATCATGTCATTGGCTGACCCTGGACTGCTGGTTGTGTTAGGACCTTTCAGTGAGTCATTGATGTCTCTCCTGAACATGGACAAGTTCTGTGTAAACCTGCCAAACAAACAACATCTCTCAGACTACATCGGCTACAAGGTGAGTTCTGTACACAGAGGCCTCAGTCTGGTCACTAAGATGTCATCATGTCATTGGCTGACCCTGGACTGCTGGTTGTGTTAGGACCTTTCAGTGAGTCATTGATGTCTCTCCTGAACATGGACAAGTTCTGTGTAAACCTGCCAAACAAACAACATCTCTCAGACTACATTGGATACAAGATGAGTTCTGTACACAGAGGCCTCAGTCTGGTCACTAAGATGTCATCATGTCATTGGCTGACCCTGGACTGCTGGTTGTGTTAGGACCTTTCAGTGAGTCATTGATGTCTCTCCTGAACATGGACAAGTTCTGTGTAAACCTGCCAAACAAACAACATCTCTCAGACTACATTGGATACAAGATGAGTTCTGTACACAGAGGCCTCAGTCTGGTCACTAAGATGTCATCATGTCATTGGCTGACCCTGGACTGCTGGTTGTGTTAGGACCTTTCAGTGAGTCATTGATGTCTCTCCTGAACATGGACAAGTTCTGTGTAAACCTGCCAAACAAACAACATCTCTCAGACTACATTGGATACAAGGTGAGTTCTGTACACAGAGGCCTCAGTCTGGTCACTAAGATGTCATCATGTCATTGGCTGACCCTGGACTGCTGGTTGTGTTAGGACCTTTCAGTGAGTCATTGATGTCTCTCCTGAACATGGACAAGTTCTGTGTAAACCTGCCAAACAAACAACATCTCTCAGACTACATTGGATACAAGGTGAGTTCTGTACACAGAGGCCTCAGTCTGGTCACTAAGATGTCATCATGTCATTGGCTGACCCTGGACTGCTGGTTGTGTTAGGACCTTTCAGTGAGTCATTGAAGTCTCTCCTGAACATGGCCAAGTTCTGTGTAATCCGGCCAAAGAAACATCATCTCTCAGACTACATTGGACACAATGACCTAGATTTTAAGGATTTTTGTTGTGATATTTGACTGAGGAGTCTAACCTAACGTTACATTTGAACCTGCTAGTGTCTACACCAGAATCTAGGGGCCCTGCTGTCGCTGGCTGGCGGGCTATGCCAGTAGCAAGACAGATAGGAGAGATAACTAACATCACAACACCATGATATTAGATGATCATCATAATTATAAGTGAAACATGATTTTTTTTTAAATCACAGCAATAGAGGCGCACCTAGATTCCTAGTATAGTCACTAGCAGATTCAAATGCAGCTTTTTATTGGTTCAGTGAGATTTCTGGGTTAGGTCTTTATTCAATGGTACCTATCACTAATACTGAAATTAATTTAAAATTGGACATACAAAATAATAATGTTTATTTATTTAAAACTTACATCTTAGAACTTTTGTAAAGCATATTGCATGCTGTAGCTAAAGTAGTAACAATACTGAACATACCTGTCTCTGTTTTTTGTTAATAAATTTCTTTCAATACCGTCCATAAGATTTTCAAACCATTGAGCCATAGCTGCCTGTTTGTCAGATGGTTGACTTCTTATTATGTTTTCTCTAAGTTGGTTAAAATACTGCAACAAAAGGAATAAACCACTCAGATATTTATATGGTTCATGTTTGGTTATTTAGCCTTAACAAATCACAAACTGCACAGAAAATCAGTAAAAAATCTTAATCCTAGTAACCCTTCTTAAAGCTAAGGAGATGTTAGTAGAGGCAAACACTAAAAATATTTTAAAATCCCTAAAATTAGCACATTACAATCATCAGCAAACAGACACATGAACCCCCCATTTCCAGGAATTGCATATTTTTATTGTCTTGTAGACATCATCTTCATCTCCCGCAGTCACGGAATATCAATATCGTTGAAATATTGTGGTATCACCTGTACCAAGCTTTTCGACTTGCCTGGCATCCAAACTAAATAGGCCAAACTGGGGGTTGAAAAAACCAGCCCCCTTATAAATATTATAGCATTACTTTGACCTTAATCACTAAGACAGAAGGAAAAGCTCTAATCGTTAAAAATACCTCTTCATTAAGAAGTATTAGACCTAGAAGAGGCCTGGACATAGACCACTGGTTGCGACAGTCTTCAAACATGATAACATTGAGCACAGTGCTGAGAATCTGCTGAAGAATCTCAGGATGAAGTTCTAGCACTTGCAGAAATACTTCATTGTTCACTTGTACGTTTCTGCGTGACTTCTTGCCTGAAATATGGAAACACTTGTAATTAAATGACTTCATGTCACAATACAATTGTCAAATAAGTGTTGTTTGAATATTTTGCTGTATTTCAGGGTAGAACTCTAGCACCTTACCAGTGAATACTTCATTGTTCAATTGAAGGTCCTACAAAACTTTGTGAGTTTGAAAAAAAGGGTCATCTTATAAATTTGAGCTAATCTTAAGTGAAATTTATTTTTGCTAAGCAAAAAATTTAACAATGAATTAATAATTTGATTTTTTTCAAAAGTGTTTTTATTTTACATTCAGAAATAATATGTTAAAGATATAAGACATCTGTCTGGTTCTAATTACTACACTAATAGTATTTACCTTTTTGTGAAAGTTGTTTAAACAGGTAGGTGACTATATGATCCAACGTTGCACAGCACCCCGTACACACCATTGTATCTATAAAACATTTTCATGATGAGTTAGCTTTTGGATCAAGATAATGCAAATATAAAGGGTTTAATTTACCTGTTGCGTCAATTGATCCTTAAGTTATGAAATAACTACGGCCGTTTCGTGATGCTAAGCGAGCCCATCTTCAGGTTGTATGAACGTTAAAATACGGTCTTCTCATCCGTGGATGGAGTCGTCAGCACATTTAGGACACATAACACAAAACACATACGAAACATTGAAATATTTACAATAAAAACTTGGCTAAGTAGTCCAAACTGGAGTTGCCTAACCGGTAGCAGTAGATGATGAGACATAACTCATCATCTACCGCTACCGGTTACGAAACTTGTGTTGGACTACTTGGCCAAGTTTTTATTGTAAATATTTCAATGTTTCGTGTTATGTGTCCTAAATGTGCTGACACACATAACACACGAGAGAAGACCACGGATGAGAAGACCGTATTTTAACGTTCATACAACCTGGAGATGGGCTAGCTTAGCAGCACAAAACGGCCGTAGTTATTTCATAACTTAAGGATCAATTGACGCAACAGGTAAATTAACCCCTTTATATTTATAAAACATTGCCAGTTTTAACAGTTTGATTTGAAACTCCTTACAGTACTTTATTTAAACCAAGAGTGTTCAAAATCTGATCTTTCAAAGTGTTACATAGTTTGTGAAAAGCTTGTTCTTTTATTGGAGGCTTAAATTGCAATTCAATCTATTCAAACAAGGGACTTTTAAGTTAATTATTCCATTATTAGCAGACATTACATTTAGTATAGTTTAATAATGTATTATATAATAACAATAATTTTGTTAAACCAAAATGGTGTAGGCCTATGTGTTTTTGAGTTGGTTTAAGGAATAATGAAATCACAACAGTCACTGTAATATTCAGGGGACATTGTCACATTTATTACTATTTACCAATCGGCAAATAACATATTCAGAACACTACCTTTTGTCAAGGAAGAAAAAAGGGGCAACACAAAATCAGCATAATCAACTTGTAATGAGTTTTGTCCATATTTGCATGTGATGATAAAACTATTTCTATGTATGTTGCAAAACATGCATACACAAAAATTCTACAAAATAAGGAACAATAAAAATTTACTATTAAATCAACTATTTTCTTTTTTGAGCAAAAAAGTCATGCAGTGAGTGCATGCAACAAGGTACAGCCCAGAGCCATGACAACAGGCAAGGGTCTAGCAGTCTACTGAGCCCCACGCTGGGCTGTACCTGTGAAGTGATTGAGGTGCGCACCTAGAGCCGTGAGACCCTCCGAGATGGAGGACAAGATGTAGAGGAACACATTGGGCTCCAGAGTAGCAAGGAAGCTCATGTGGTCCTGAGCTAGACACTCGAGTAGCACGTAGTACGTTTGTGACAGCTTCGGATAGTCCTGTACAGCAACATAACAGTACATATTAGTGAAAGGTACATGTAAGGTTTTAAGGTCTTTGCACACTAAACCACCATAACGGACCCTGGCATCATGAGAAAAAATTAAACTCAAGACTTTGTTGGCTTTGTGATGACTTAGTGGTGGTGAGAGCTCCCAATTGCCCACAGTCATGATGCACTTGTACTATGTATCCAAGGGGAATGTGTACCAAGGTACCCTTGGTAGTGACCTGGAGTGTTCCGTTAATCTAGCTTAGCGGGACTCTGATGTATTCATAGTTAATAGTAGGCCAACAAAGCATCACCCAACATAACCTTCAAACCTGGTTAAAAGTAAAAATATTTCTACAGTAATAAGGCCCTAAAGTTAAGTAATGAGGAAGCTCTTGTAGGATACAGATGATTAGTATGGTGTATAATTTAGAGTACAGTAACAAAGAATAAGTATTGTCAAGGGTAGGGGCCTGAAGCCTGGAACGTATAACTGAAAAAATATTATTTAAAACAGTTAAATAAATCTGAAAAATTAAATCCTGAAATTAAGCTTACCAGTAAATCAGACTGAGGAATGGAAAGCAGTAGTTTAACAAATGTTTTGAGCGCGTTATCCAATGCCTCGTCTCCATACAGTCTGAAGACACCAAAGTTGACATAGCTGCCACATAGAGCAGCTTTCAGCATTGAGAAACAGATTGAGATCCCTTTCAGCTTCATGGCATATATTTGGTCCTTGGGTACTTCTACTTCCAAGATGTGACTACCTGAAAAATTAAAAAAAAACAACAACTTGTCAATTGAGTTCAGAAAACCTCCACTACACTATATTACTTTACAGTAGAACCCCTTATATCCGGCCACTTCTTGGTAGCCAATATTTACAAATATTAGAACAGAAACGGGTTGAGTCATAAACGGGTAGTCAGTAACAAATTATGTCACTGGCCCGAAAGTAAACATTATTTAACATTACTTAAATGGAACACTCTGAACCATATGTAAATGACGTTAGTATAGGATTTGGGCCAGTTACGTCATTTGTTTATGTTTATGAACCATACCGTTTATGTTCTAATATTTGAGCTAATATCAAAACATATTTCCCACGTCTTATAGAGCACAGTTGCAGGCACTATACCAATAGAAACAATTATTTTACATGTTCAATTGTCTTAACATTTGAATGTCTATGTGGGATATTATGCATAGGGATATTGCTACATTGTTTTTACTTTTATGGCCATACTTCTTTTTTACTGAGATAATTGTTTCTTTACATGATATAATACACAGACATGTAACACCATAACTGTTATCATGATAGAATTGCCTCTGGATTGTCTGAATTAACGTATAGTGATTTATATTACCTTGTTACTGTGCAAAAGGATCGTTTTGGACAGTACCAGTAAAAAGGTAATGTAAACCACTATACATAAATGTAGCATTACCATATTATATTTAAATAATCGTCATCCCAGATTCTCCTTGTAGTTTCTGCATCCCAATTGCTCCCACGTTTATCTGTTTGTTTACATTTTACTGTGTTCACTACTTAATTGAGTTAGTGGTTAACTAGAACAGTGGTTCAACATTAATGGTGTAAAAATGAATCAAGATAAAACCCAACTGGTAAAGTTTTGTACTGCTCATGCAAAAGAGTTTAAAGACCAAAATTTAACTGTTCACAATGATGCAAAATTTCTCGGTTTGCACATGGATTCAAATTTAAATTGGAACAAAAGCATTGAAAATTTCATTAGTAGACTGAATTCAGCTTGTTATCAAATGATATGTTTAAGAAACACAATTGACTTAAAAACTCGTTTAATGTTATACTATGCATACTTCTATTCAATTCTTAAATAAGGAATTGAATTCTGGGGCTTTGCATCAAACATCGATTTAATTTTTAAGATTCAGAAAAAATGTTTAAGAATAATGATATTTGAACCATGGAGAACATCATGTAAGCCAATTTTTAAAGAATTAGAAGTAATGAATGTTCCGATTTTAACAATTTTTCAAACAATTTTGATGGTAGAAGGAAATTTTGAAAAATTATGTAGTGAAACAACTTTGAACATAGGTATACTAGGTTTAAAACCAACTTTCAATATCCGCGACACCGTTTTTCATTAGTAGAAAAAACCCCGACATACATGGGCAAAAAAACTATTTAATAAACTGTCTCAAGAATTAAAGAACAAAATACAGTCCAAGCAATTCAAAAGCAGCCTTGATAATTTTCTTTAAAGAAAACCCTATTACATTATAGATGAGTTCTTAACTGATCAGTTTGTTTAAACATACATTTTGATTTAACTACATTTCTTTTACTGATACATTTTGTTTATATCACTTTTCTATATATATAAAGCTCAAATACCACTGACTCACTCATCACGAAATCTCAGAAACCATAAGACCTACAGGGTTGCCACCAAAGTGAGATAAAAAAATTCATGCATAATTCAAGGTTTTCATTGGTAGTTTTGAAAAATTCATGGGGTATATGCTCGCACAATTTCACCATAAAAGAGTATTGCCTAGTTCAGAATTGTACATTAATTTATCGACAATATATAGTTTTGTGTGCTACTATAAAATAAAACACATTTCATGCAATTATTTTAGAGTGAAAAATAAGAATTTAATAAAATTTATCCAGTCTAAAAAAAGTAAAATCACAGATGAAAAAGGATATTTAATAAAAATCTTGTGTGTGATAATACAATGTAATTCTTAAAAAAAATTGAAACATCTGATTTAACAACATCATAACTTAGGCCTAATGATAAATTCAAACGTTAGAAGAAATAATAAATAAATAATAAGTCGGATTGGTAGTTAGGTATAGGCCTAACCTAAAAAACATTGCATCCAAACATAAAAGGTTTAACTTAGTTAATCCAGCAATGGCCTAGAACTTTACTGTCTAAACATCAAATTAAGATAATAGGCATAACGCATACCGGTAATTAAGATAATAGGCATAATAAAAACAAATGTTAAGAACATGATCAAGAAACGGTTAACTTAGTAATGGGCCATATCTAGGCCTACTAAAACGCACATGCAATCTATTACTACTGTAACACAGTAGGCTAGCCTACATTGTAATCCAAAGCTGAATCTAGGCTAAGTTAGGCCTGAACCAACTTTTATTTATTGAGAAGATTAAAGGTTACCGACTGACTGATAAAAAATATTATGTAAATAAATATTTAGTTAAATAGTTAAATATTAGTGGATTAGTTAAATGTAAGTTTAAACATAGGCTAACTTTTAAGTAATAAAAAAATAATTAATTACATTACAGAAAAGGTTAAAATAAACTTAGTTTAGAAGGATGTTTCTTCCGATTGGATCAGTTTATATATTATCATTTGCCTACACAGGTTTAAATCACAGTTAAAACAATTATTTAATTAAATTTACATCTCATTAGTTAGATTCGTATTGACTGAAAACACCTATGCTTCTAACAAAACATTTACATTTACCAGCCTCAGAACGAAATCACCATTTTTCAGCACAACATTGACTTCTTGCAACTTAGGCCTAAATAAATAAACTTAAACTCACGTTGTAAACACATTTACTCAACACTGACAGTAGTTTGAAATACGACATATTTGACCAAACAAACACAGAAGACGATTAAGTTCCAGCCGGAGCAAGCCATTTTGACCTTTATGGCAAGGCAAGGTACTTCTTATTTTAACGTTGTAAAGTATCGGAAGTATGATATATCAGTAATAAAAAATATTTAATCTGAACACTTGTTCCACTGAGTGTTGGGTAATCAATTATAAGAAGCACAAAACGGAATCACGAGTGCAAAAAGTGATCTTACTGTCCAGTGTCCACCACTACTTCAAACGTTTGACAAGTTTCAGATCAGTTTAAAACTTTTAGGTTATGGTTATTCTGTATTTCCTTCCACACGAACACTAGAGTAGAGAGTAGAGAATGAGTGAGAGCGAGCATCAATTCCGATTGTCGATGTTTTCGAAACATCGATGTCTTTTCTATCGATGTTCGAAGTTGTTTGTTTACATCGATGGTAGATTACCGAACCGATGATTTGGTTTGTTACATCGGTCTTTTAGGCCAAAAAAAGTAATGAAATACAGTATTGATGTTTTCCGTAACTGAATTGTATTGGTTTTAGGTTAATTGGCTGTTACAGTGCAGAGAACAGACGAGAAACTCGGAACAAACATCGATGTGATCGATGTTTTGGCTCCGAAAGTATTATATAATAATTAGATTCAAATCAAAAGATAGGTACATTATTTTATTCAATCCATTCTATTTACAAAATTGGTAAACATAAACAATCAATTAATGAACACATGTTTAAAACTATACATCAACTCTCCCCCCTTAGTGTAAGGGAAGTATTTGGTCTGAGTGACGAGTCCAAGTGAGTCCAGTGTCTGTCTTGACTTTAAACATAACATTTCCTGTTCTTGAAATTATTTTCCCTTCCTTCCACTTTACTTTTGAGGAATAATTTCTTACCAGTACTCTCTGTCCCACCTGAAAATTTCTTTTCAGCTTGTGTTCCGACATAGTCTTTTTATTCCATTCAACTTTATCTGCCATCACGTTAAGTTTCGTTCTTATGTCTCTGCCAAACATTAACACATAAGCGGAGAGTCCTGTAGAGTTTGGAGCTTTGCGTAACTGAGTTACGAGAAGATCTATTTTATGCTGCAAGTCTCCCTTGTCTTCACTCATGGCAGCCAATGATTTCTTAACAGTTTGGACAAATCGTTCAGCTTGGCCATTGCTTGATGGGTGAAAAGGTGCACAAGTCCTATGGCAAATTCCATTATTGCTTAGAAACCTTTGAAAAAGTGCACTCGTAAATTGGGAGCCGTTGTCTGTTACTATCATAACTGGCAGTCCAAAAGTTGAAAATAAGTGACTTAAATTTCGAATGCACCAGTCTGAAGAAGTGTTCTTTGTATGTATAACCTCCAACCATTTTGTATGGGCGTCAATAATTATGAAGAAATAATTTCCATTTACGGGTCCACAAAAATCCAAATGTAAGCGATGCCAGGGAGCTGTAGGTTCTTCCCAAGGGTGATGGTTTAATTTAGATGGTTCATTTCTTTTCTGTTTGCATTTGTCACAGTTATTAACCAAGTTTTCAATATCATTATCCAAGTTTTTCCAATATACATAACTTCGCGCCATGGCCTTCATTTTCGACATGCCTAAATGCCCAATGTGTAGTTCCTTGAGAACTTCTTTCTGCAATGTGTTAGGTATTACAACTCGACTACCTCTAAAGATGCAACCTTTATGTAAACTTAAATCATTATTTCGGAAACCAACCTTTTCCAGATTTTCTCCATTTTCTAGTGCTGTAACTATTGTAGCTAGTACAGGGTCTTTTTTTGTATGCTCTGCAAGTGTACATTGTGTGAGAGGAAGAATTGCTATTTGATTCATTTGGAACTTGGAATACAAGTCTTCATCATCTTGAGTTTGTTCAACTGGAAAACGAGACAAGAAATCTGCGTTACAGTGGTCTGAAGTTTTTCTATACTCAATTGTATAATCAAACCCAGCAAGGAAAAGTGAGTAGTTCAATAAACGAGTAGCTGACATTGCCGGTAAGCATTTTGATGGATGGAATATGGAAACAAGAGGTTTGTGGTCCGTCTGAAGAACAAACTTTCGTCCATAGCAATAAGCAAAGAATTTCTTTACCCCCCAGTAAATTGCTGTAGCTTCTTTGTCT